CACCCTCTGCCCCTTCTCCCCGCCCCCAGCCCCTCCCCGATAGTGTAACCTCGCCCACTCTCCCCTCCACCCCGCGCCAGACCTGCCCGAGGTCCCTTTCTCGCCCCAAACTTGGAATCCTGCAGAGTTATTACTCATTCTCGTCCTCCCGCGGTTCCGAGCGTTTTCCGAGTTATTCATCGCCTCACTACACTCCTGCCCCACCCTGACTCAGTTCCTTCTCAATTTCCTCTTGTTTCTCAAATCCGTTCCTCACACTTTCCGGGAGAACCAGGTCACGTCGGCTCGAGGGTGGTGAAAGGGAAGGGTCCTCGAGAGACCAGCCCTGGTCCCCAGCCCCCGCCTGCGCGACGCACGGCCCGACTCTCTTTAGAGCTTTTGTAAACTGGGCGCTGTCCTCTGGTCTCTCGAAGGAAGAACCCGACAGTGAGATCGCGGAGGGCTTAGAATCTCGCTATTCAAAACTAGCTGTGTGGTTCCGGACTAGTCACTCAGACTCTCTGCGTGTTGGTTGCCCTCTCTGTGAGACAGGAGCGTGGGAGAGCGTGTGGCATACATAATGGCGATTGCTAAATGCCCTCGCTCCACGGACGTTACCTGAGCTCCAACCTTGTGTTCGGTACCGTGCAGCGTGAGGCTGCTCGCACCACGAGAATTATCATGATCGCATGGGGTGCGTTGGGGACCGAACCCCACTCCTCCAACGTAACGCGCGCGTGCACACACACACTATCAGACCCTGTTCCCAGCGCAGGCTTTCGGCACCCAGCCCCTACCTGGGACGCAGATCTGAACCAACAGCAGCGGCAGCAGCAGAAGCAGCAGCGGGCGGCCCATGTCCGGAGGGCGGGTTCTGTTAGCAGCCTCCCGGCCCTTCTCTCCCACTGGCCCCAGGAAGGAGAGTTTTGTGGCCCCGGGGGCTCCTCCCAGAAGGTTTGCGAAAGAGCTAGAGCGAGTCAGCACCAGATGTGTGGGCGCCTCCCCCTCCTCCCCCCACCGGCCTCCCCAAAATACTTCCCTTCCAGGGCGCCTCCTGAGCGTTGTAGGGGGGGGCGGGCTCGGCCCTGACTCACAAAGCGGTGGTCACAGCTCTGTCACCAGGCTGCCTGGGTGCAAATTCCAGCTCTCCTTCACTCTTCCCTCTCCCTCGCTGTAAAATGGGGATGAAGAGCTGGTCCTCACGGGCGTTTGAATAAGGCCGAGTAGGATTTCATGTTTCTTTTGTTAGGAGGGAGGCCGATATTGTGGTTCTGTGGGCAAATCTCTTCATCATTTAGATACATGCTGAAATACTTGGCTATGAAATGACATCGTGCCTGTATTTGCCCTAAAACACTTCAGCCCAAAGCGGGAAACAGGGCTGCGATGAAGATGGCTTTACGGTTATGCAGCGGAAACGTTCTTAGTTTTTACAGATGCTCCCTGAAGTAGTTCGGGTGAGAGCCATTGGTGCCTGTACTTACTGGAAAACACTTCAGAAGGAAATGAAAGCACAGTGGCAGACTGTGTCAATTATACCAATCCATGTGAATGGCGTTTTGGGAGCATATTCTGTCACTCTGTCTCCTTTTCTGTGTGTTTGTAAAGGACTACAGGCCCTATGGGGACCAGCAGTTAGTGTAGTGGCTATGTTGCTGGATTCCCATGTAGTCGACCGCGGTTCGAGTCCTGGACCCGGTGGTTTAAACTCACCCCGGACGCGTGTGCGTGCGTGCCCAAGATCCCGAGAGGAGAATGGAGGAGGAGGGATTGCGGCGTGGCCATCCCCCCTGGAGGGTGATTTCTCGCTTTCTGTCTCTGTCTCTCTACATCTGTCTGGTGAGCACACGCACCCTATAGCAAAAACCTCTCAAAAAAAAAAAAAAAAAAAAAAGACTGCAGGCGCTGGGAGGTGGCGTGCTTTAGTGTGCTGCTCTCCGAGGCTGACCCACACGGGCAGGCTCCAGGTCCCTGTCTGGAGAGTACACTTCCTGAGTACCCTGGGCACACGCGTGCCCGTGATCAGGGCTGATGGAGGCCGGGCGTGGGTCCTGGCATCGAGACCCGTTAAGAGCACCTATTTATCTGTCTCTCATTCACGTAATAAGTAAATACAAAAAGAGTTTTTGAGAGGGTTTTGCTATAGGGTACACGTGCTTCTCCAGAGAGATAGAAAACGAGAAATCACTAGGGGGAGAGGGGTGGCTATGCTGAAATTCCTTCTCCTCTTTTCTCTACTCGGGATCTTGGGCACGCACACACACGTGCTCAGCGTATTTCAAGCCACTGGGTCTAGGACTCGAACCACAGTCTGCCTCATGGGAGTCCAGCGTCTTAATCACCTCGCCACCTGTTGCCCCCCCCCTTTTGTTTAATTTTATGTATTCATTTATTTTAATTTGACCAAGGAGAGACACACACAGAGAGGGAAGGTGAGAATCCAAGCCACCAGGTCTGGGACTCTAACCGTAGTCAGCCGTGTGCCTTAACCACCACACCACTTGCTGGTCCCTCCCCCTCTTTTCTTTTTTGGAGAGATTTTTGCTATAGGGTGCATGCGCTTACTGGAGAGACAGAGAGAGAAAGTGAGAAATCACCACCCAGGGGCGTGGCTGCAGGCAACCCCTTCTCCTCCATTCTCTTCTCAGGATCTTGGGCACACACCACCTGCTGATCTTTGTTTTTATGACAAGTGTTGTGGGTCAGCAAGTAATGTGGAGGTTAAGGTGACTGGATCCCACGTGGCTGACTCCGTGACTCAAGTCCTGAACCCAGCATCTTGAAAATCATGCTGGACATACCCCAAATCCCCAAATCTCTCTTTTCCTCTCTCCAACAAGTGCATGTGCCTTCTAGCTATTAAAAAAAAAAAATTAAAATAAAAAGCAAGAGATGAACCAGCCCATGGACTGGTGGTTAAGGGAACTGGATCCCACATGGGCCACACTGCGTGGTTCGAGTCCCAGACCCAGTGGCTTGAAAACCACACTGGACATGTGTGCATGTGTGCCCATAATCCCAGCGGGGTGGAGAAATGGAGGAGAAACAATCGTGGTGTGACAATATCCCTTTGGGGGATGCTTTCTTCCTTTCCCTCTCTCCCCATTCTCTGGCAAGTGTATGTGCCCTTTGGCAAATTAAAAGAAACAAAGAAAAAACAATAGTTAAAACAATCTCTGGGTCTCTGACTGCCTCTGACCAGTCAGAGCAATTTAATGCAGGTGACATGCCTTAAACACATTCATTCAACACTTACCAAGGCCCTGGTTTGTGCTGGGCATTTGTCCAGGAGCTAGGGACACAGGAGGAAACAGCCAAGTCCCCACCCTTGGGCACTGCCGATGGGGTGATAAGCGTTATCTAATCTGTCACTACTGGGCAGTGACAAGCAAAGTGGAGAAAACAAAGCCAGTCTAAGGCAGTACCAAGGTGGAGTAAATAAGGAGTAGCCGAGTTGGGGGGCGATTGTGGGGACTTCCCTGAGCAGGCGCCTTTCAGCAGAGGCTGAATACAGTGAAGGAGAAAGTGGGGCAAATGTGTACCAGCAACTTTCCAGGGAGAGGGACCGAGCAGTGCAAAGGCCCTGGGGTAGGAGGGTGCCTGATGAACAGCAGAGGCCAGTGTGGCTGGAGCAGCGCGGGAGGGAGCGGGTAACGGTGATAACTCTAGCTGTGAACGGACCGTTGACTCAGTGAAGCCTTAAGCTAGTATTTAAACACACACACACACACATACACACACACACATATATTTTCATTTATCTATCTATTTGATGTGATTTTCTTTCTTTTCTTTTTTTAAAAAGAAGTTTTTGCTATAGGGCATGTGAGGTCACCAGGTTTTTTAAAAAGAAGTTTTTGCTATAGGGCATATGAGGTCACCAGGGAGACAGAGAGAGAGAGACAGAAGGCAAGAAATCACTCCCCGGGGGGATGGCCACGCCACAATCCCTTCTCCTGCAGTTTCCTCTTGGGATTTTGAGCATGCATGCACACACACCTGGCATGAGTTTTAAAGTTGCCGGGTCCAGGACTAAAAACTAAAAACTTTTAGTTTTTTTCCTATAGGGTGCGTGAGCTCGCCAGAAAGACAGAGAGAGACAGAAAGCAACCAGGACTTGACTGTGTGGGAGTCCAGGCAACATGACCATTACACCATCTGCCGGTCCCATATTTGTTGTGAGTTTCAAGCCACCGGGTCCAGGACTCAAACCACAGTCAGCCATTTGGGAATCCAGCACTTTAACCACTATGCCACCTGTGGGCCTAAGCTAATACTTTTAAAATAAGAAAAGTCCCAAGAAGGAACAAGTGGTGGTGCTAGTGGTAACCCATAGGGGAAAGGTCCTGGGTTCAAGTCCTGGGACCTCTCTGAGCATGCCAGGCACACCTATGGGCCAAGCTAGCTATCCGAAGGGTAGCTTGTGGAGTGAAGACCCTGTCTCTCTCTGTCTCGTTTTCTGTGTCCCTCTTACCC